CCCATCTCTGCCTTATTTCTAGCAATTCCAATAAGTGAAGAAAATTTACTGATGAAATATGAACCAAGTATTAGTTCATTTACTCAGCTGCCATCACCAGTCCTGAGACTGGTGGCTTTACATACCATTCATCCCTTCTAAGATGCTCCTTGAAAAACTGGAGGTAATGAGTTTATTCATGGAACTTGTTATTGAAAAATGCACCAACTAAATCTACTTTTAACTAAAATTTTTAAAAATTTAGAATAAAAAAAGAGAGTCATGGTCTCTGGCTCTTCATTTTTTATTCCTTTAACTAGCTGTCAAGCCATCTTAAAAATGTCCTGTCATAGGGAGTGTATAAATCAATTGGACTATTTTTTCTTGATTTACTATATCTTCCTAACACAGTTTTTATTCATTCTAAACAATGAGCAAATCATATAGCTTATATATAATGCATTTTGTCATTTACATTGTTAAAATTTTCTACTCAAAACTTACAGATGTTTACTACATAAGCTTCCCTGGATTAGAAAATAATAACTGCCATTCCTCCTCTTCTTCAGAGACCACTAGTCCTCTATATGTACTTGCCCTTCATACCCTTGACAGGTCCAAACCCAATAGTGTTTTTTTTTTGCATACCTGAGGTACTTTGTGAATACTCATTATTACCTAGAAAGGTAACTTTCCTTTGAAGTTGAGAAGTGAAACAAAGTTTGGAAACCCTAATTCTGCTACTGGATAGCAAGGTGACAACTTGGGCAAGTTACTGGACCTTTCTGGGTCAGTATTGGCTATAAAATGAAAAATCATAAAGCTTTTATAGAGGACAGAAAAGAAGTTTTGTAATAATAAATTTCAATGCCTAGCAGAACATGGCACATAACAGTGAATAAAAAGTAATTGTTTTTATAATTGCCCCACAACAAGATTTGGAGTCCCTGATAAAAAAGAATAAGAATACACATACTTTGTTTTCAGTTAGGCTTAAAATGGATTCACACAAGCTGCTCATCTATTCTGGGCAGAAGTGTTCCCAAGCCTTAGTAACTAACACATAAGGATGAAGAGGTACTTTCCCTAGAAGTTCCCTACAAGTGGTAGTTTCCATAAACCCTACATAAGCTAGCAGGCTATCTTTTTTTTTTTTTTTTTCTCTCTCTCCTTTGTGGCTATCTCATTTACTATAGGAATTAAAAAATAAAGATCAAAGACTCTATTTTTTAAAATGTCTAAAATACCCTGTAAGGAAGAGTAGTATTTAAGGACAACAGGTTATCCTGAGTACTTCTATACAATGTATACTAATATTTCATACTAATATTAAAAAGACAAAAATCAAACAGTAGCTGTCCTCAAGAGAGAAAAACACACAACATAAGTGCTTTCCAGGAAGAAAAATCAGAGAAGTATTTTTAAAGCTTCACTCCACCCAACTCTTCAAGTACAGACCAGGGAAATATAACAAGGAAAGATCATACTGAACTTGAACAATACATTACTTTTACTTGTGTACTTTAATGCACTGATAATAGCAAGCAAGAAAATGTTTCTTTTTCCTTTATATATTATTTTGATATAATTTCTATTTTACCTACTGAACATTGCATTAATTTTTGTTTACTGTAAAAATTATCTTTTTAAGATGAAAAAAATGAGCAACTTGGCATGTATGTTTACTGGTTGTTGACAGATTATAGAAGAACTTGTTTCAATTCGGACCTAGTAATTAGAAATCTGTCATATTACTTTCTTTAAAAAATAATAATAAGCTGAGAATCAAAAAACAAGCAGTAAAATGAAATAAGAGTAAAAGTATTTCAAAAGTTCTAAAATCTTTCTAGTTTTATCTATGTGGTACCCTATGTCAATTACATATCTAAACAAACTATTCTACTTATTGTCTCTAAACATACCTAGTATTTTCTTACCTCTGTATATTGTCCATGATAGTTTAAGTTTACTTTTGGTGTTAACACTACCCCAAACCCCCAAGGGTATCCCTAACTTCTTAAATCCTCTGTCCCTTTAAAACCCAGTTCAAATACCTCTTCAGTAAAACCCTAAACATATCCCTTCTCATGTCAGAAAGTTTCCTTCTCCTCATTAGTCACATAGGAGATAGACATAAATAAACCAGTCACATTCAGTAAGAAGTCATAAAACAGTAGAAACCTTTATAGCCAACACTAGCTACACCTCATTATTAGCTTCCAGAATCAAATGATCAACTCTAGTACCTAAAACTCTTAGATGACATTGCAACAGAATTTAGACAAGGGTTTAAACCAAGACTGCACATTTTGAAAAAGATTACACTATATGTTATATGTATATACACACACATACACACACACACAAAAGACACTTTTAAAGAGATATTGATGACTCATAAATTCTTTTGAAAAACTAGGCAAAACCAAAACAAAACTACATGGGGCTGGGGATGTAGCTCAAGTGGTAGCGCGCTTGCCTGGCATGCGTGCGGCCTGAGTTCGATCCTCAACACCACATACAAACAAAGATGTTGTGTCTGCTGAAAACTAAAAAATAAATATTAAAAAAATTTCTCTCTCTCTCTCTTTCTCTCTTAAAAAAAAAAAAAACTACAACTAAAAGTGAATCACTGTCCTAAATTCAAAGCTAAAGCCTTTATATGTTGGAAACAAAATCAAGAGTACAGTATTTATAGAAGAATGCAAGAAGTTTGATACTGATTAGTTACATGTCTTATTTAGGAAGGAATAGAATTGTTATTCACAGGAAAAGGAAACACTGATTATTTAAATTTGAATCCAGAACTGTTCAAGTGGCTTTGTGAACTCTAATAAAACAACAGACATCATATGTAATGATATCTGAATGATCTCTAGTAGAATGTTTCAAAGGAATCATCTAATGCTATAACCCAACACTCTCGACTTCTAATAAGAAACTCAAAACACTGCAAGAAACCATTTGCTTAAATTTCAGATCAGGGCTGCTGAGAGAATAAGACTAAATACAGTCAAATAAAAACAGCAGGGCTGGGGTTGTAGCACAGTGGTAGAGCACTTGCCTAGAATGTGTGAGACCTTGGGTTCAATCCTCAGCACCTCATAAAAATAAATAAAATAAAGATTCATCAACAACTAAAAAAAAGCAGCTTAAACCATTCAAAACTATAAATTTCAGTGTTCAATAATGATCTCTATGGCTAGATAAAAAGGGAAAGCAGGGCTTAAGTGTGAGAGCAGCCTGAATCACAATCACACTGAGGGTCAAAACTAAAACAGTGATGTAGATGTATTTCTAGTCTAGCAGATGATTATTCTTCCTGGCCACTAAGTAGGATTAATACTTCCTTCCTTTAAATTCTCCGACGGCACAGACCTTAGCAGCAACAAGTTTACTATGCTCACCTTCCTTCTCTGACAGCAGCAATAAGTCATTAACAGCTAAGTGCACAGAGATCTCTTAACTCTCATCCCAGGGTGCAATAGGATAAAACTGTTACACTGGTTAGACTATCTTTCAATGTAATCTTTTAGACAATTTCAACAAATTTTCTGACAGGTATTTGAGATTAACTCGTCTTAAACATTACTGCACAGCTAACAGTGAATAGATGACAAGCATGAAAACAACTTTTTAAAAGATGTGCCCTTTGGGGAACAAAATACTTCCCTTCTTTGTGAACTATTGCTTTAAGATAGTTTTTAGAAATTGAAGGTGCTTGTCCACAGCTATTCATTATTTCATCCAACAGATTTTATTAAGTGCAAGGCATTGTTGCAAACTGAGTATGCATAGTGGACACACAAGAAAAGAGCCCTGTTCTCATCCAATGACACAAATGATACTATATTAAACACAAACATGGAACCATTCCACCAAACAGTAGTTAAGTGCTATGAAAGCCAGCAAAAAAACCATAATAGCCTCAGTATGATTTTTGCAGTTCAGGAACACCTTCAGAAAGGGAGGCAGGGAAGTCAGTAGAAACTCAGATGCAACATACAGCTGCTTAGAGAAAATAACGAGGCAAGACAAAGGAGAATGCTGAAACACAAACAGATTGGCACAATCCAGGAACACAACAGCGATCAGCATAGCTAGAACACAAGAGAGAGTAGAAAAATATAGAAGCAAACATAGTAAGAGAAGCAAGCTAGAGTCAGATCATATAGGATCTTAGATACCTCCAGAATAGTTTAGATTTTATTCTAAATACATGAGAAAGCCACTGGGGAGATTTAAGCAAGAGAGAAATGCATGTTTTTATAGAATAATTCTGGCTTTGATATAAATAAAGGATCATTGCCATAAAAATATTAGGTTATGATAGAAATTTAGGGCAGTCAAGCATAACTCACTTGCTTTAACTTGAAATTAAAATATGATGGCTAAGAGTGCACAAAATCTCATAAAAAAGGAAGAAAGACGGAGCCATCTGACTTCAAATTTCCATTCTGCTATAGACTAGATTTTCAGAACAATAGTTCTATATTTCTGAGAGCCCTAAGAAGAAAATACATTCTTGTTGCTTAATTCCCGCCTTACTACTTGCAAGTCTAAAATAAGAAGTCTCAACCATGGTCCTTTACAAAAGCCATTAGTTATAGTAAAGTTTCTATGATTTGCAACTACTGAATTATTTTCCTCAGATAGTTAATATAAAAAAACTAAAAAGTCAGCTCTTCTGAATATTTGATGATATAAGGAAGATTATAAAAGTAATTATTTAACCCACAAAGAGTTTTAAATTTGTAAGACAAATTTTTTGCATCCTCTGATAAACTGAATGGACATCAATGTAGACAATATAGTCTCCTTTTAAAAATTTACTTGGTTTGCTAGTTCAAAATACTATAGATACTTCAGAGTAACAAAATTATATATTGTTTTTCAGTGCATTTTTTTGGAACCAACTTTTTTTTTGGGGGGGGAGTCTGAACTAGTAAAACTCTATTTTTAAGCATCTTAAAACAAAAGTAAACATTAATAGTATTTGAAAACATTACATGTAACCATACCTCTACTTTAATTCTCTTTGGGGATAATTCATCTCTTTCACCACATTTTGACCTAAGGGGAGGGGAGAGAAGAGAAAAACTTCAGAAGGTAAGAAATTTCATTCCTAAGGCATCTTAGTCTAGAACCTTCTCCCAAAACACATAATCTTGAAGCCCCAATATAAGAAATGACATACTTATATCAAACGTTCAAATAATGAAAAAAAGATTTTTCATCATTTTCAAATTAATATTAAGAGACTATATAGACACCATTATTAATTTCATATTTCAAGTATAAAATGTACACATGTATACAGAAAAAGCACTCAATAAATATTTCATGACGATTATATACCAAAATTTCTTTAAAAATAGAGGATATCCTTTTATGACTCAGTACAAATAATTAAAGAAAAAAAATGACCATTTAAGATGAATGCTTAAAGTTATATGAGATTAAAGTGCATTTTGTTTATCTACCGACACTACAGATGTACTTACTCTTAACTCAGAAATCTCTCTGCTGGGAATCTATCCCAGAGGTAGAAACACATATATGAAATGTCACTTCTTCAATTCTAGGATACACAATTATTTCATATACCACCCTGAAATATTCTTGCCAACTAAACTATGAATAGACTTCAACTGTTAATACCTTAATATAAAAGATGTGAAAACGTGAAAAAAATATATTTCACAATCAACAATATATGTGTGGTGTTATAATGTTATTATTTCTAATAAAAGAAGACCAAAAACAACTCAAGTGTACATTAGTAGGGCACTGGACCAATTAAATGGTACATTCACATAATTAATGCCTACAGCTGTAAAAAATAAGGAATATATGTGTGTGTGTATGTATGTACTAATATAGACAGTTCTCTTATGTTAAGTTAAATAAAGACAAAATAAAGAACATTATAGATATATGCTTTTATTAAAAAAAAGAGGTGAAAAGATAGCATTACTTGTATTTGTTTACAAATGCATAAACAAACTGGAAGGATGAAAATAAAACAATTAAAATTCCTGGATTGGGGAAGGTTAGAATAGAGTAAGAGTCAGGAATGGAAGTGAATCTTTTTTTTTTTTTACTATTTTTTTATAGTTTGGGCTTCTAAATTATATTAAAGTATTAATATATTTAAAATAGATTTAACTGGGGCTGAGGATGTGGTTCAAGCAGTAGCGCACTTGCCTGGCATGCATGGGATGCCGGGTTCGTTCCTCAACTCCACATAAAAATAAAAAATAAAGATAATGTGTCCACCTAAAACTAAAAAATAAATATTTAAGAAAAAAGTAAAATAAAATAGATTTAACTTAAAAAATATACAAAAAACAGCTAACATTATTGAAGGCAGTTGCTTCTATGGCGTGAAATGGGAAGGTGGCAGAGGACAGGAACTGTTGTTTCATGATAAACCTTGTGTACTATATGACTTCTTACATCATATATATGTATTATTTTGATTAAAGAAAATCATCTAAATAAAATACTCAAAGTTTTGTGTAATGCAGCACTGAAAATGAAAAATCACTAAAATCAGTTTTTGTTAATCCAACTTCAAAAAAAATCTTGGAAATAATCCTATATTGCTGTATATTCTTATCCTGTTACTCTATATATATAATTTTACTTACTATATGTTGGCAAATATGTAGATGCCCAGATAGGGCAGAAAATGAAGCCACTGTGAGTTTGAGAAAACAATGGTAAATGATAGCAAATGCCTATAATATAGTAGTAAACTTCAAACTTCAGTATGTACAATAATCATTTGCAATACCTGTAAAAATTTAAAATTCCAAGGATCCATCTCCACAGATTGATTTATTAAGGCTGGGAAGGGTGTTCAGGATGTGAATTTAACAAACAACCAGAGTTACTCTAATACAAGTATTCATTTGCATCCACAGAGACAAGCAAACAATGAACTGGCAGTACCAAGTGAACAAAATAAAAATGATCCTACACCTACAGACAATGCTTAGAGACTAAAGTGAAGATAAGATAAAGAAGAATATGGTGTTTTTACAATAAATTTTGAAATCATCATTCTTTTCAACTTTGTTTTTTATTTCAAACTCACATTTTATATTCAATTTTTTAAAAGTATCTCCCTTAAAATACTAGTCTATCATCTTTTTTTACATTCAGGCAATCTCAAGACTGCAAGCACCTTGCAAAAGGAATCACTCTGTTTCCTCAGAGAGTTCAAAAAGTTCATGTAGTTGTAGGTATGCAAATAAGTCTAAAAAGTTTTTCTGAATTGCATCAACATCCCCAAACCCAAAATAAGTATGAGAAAAATGTTTAAACTACCTGTAAGAACAACATTAACATACAGGGAAACCATGTCTTTCAAAAGAAAAGAAGACAAGAGGAGAATTAAACAAAATAACAAAAATCACTTTGTTAGAAGAAAAAAGTTCTGGTGTGTATTTACACAGTAAGGTGATAGACACAATTATGAATACATGAATAACAATTATGTACTATGTATTTCAAAAAATAAAATGATTTAAAATGTTTTCATCATTAAAAAATGATAAATGCTTGATTTAAACATATAATGTTCATAAGGTACTTCATAATATGCACTATTTTTATCTTTTTATGTGCAGGTTAAAAGATTAAATTTAATTATAAAGTAATTTTAAACAATAGTGTTTTGAAAAACCATCATAATCACACTTTCATCTTTTCAAAAATGCTTATATTCAATCAATGGATGGTGTTTCAAACCACTTCTATCAGGCAATGCAAAAATATCGCCAATTAGTTAACACTTACTTGGTGGTTCTGTAAGTATATTTATAGGTGACTTCTCGAGAAATCTGCCTAGCCAGAGCAAAAAGTTCGTCTCTTCTTGTAAGCAGGGCATTATCTTTCACACAGAGTTGGGCAGCTGCTTCATTAACAGTGAGCTAGATATCCAAAATAAAGTTATAAAAATCATAAGCATTTATATTTCATTGATGCATAAAAGGTATCACTAAAGAATATAAATATTTCATATCACTGTATAATGAAACCATATTCACAAAAAATCAGGATGGTTACTCCAATTGCCAAATTTTGGAAGAAAACCAACTTATTTACCATTTTGCAGAGACCAAACTATTCAAAATAGTCATCATGGTTTTACTTAACTTATTTATATGTTTTCTTTTTCTTCTTTTCTCTTTTTTTTTTTTTTTGCAGGGGGGAGAGGGGGGCTAAATGGAGTTTATGGATAATTTGAAAAAGTAAAGAATATTATATAACTCACATCTCATTTTTCTGATGAAAAACCAAAGGATTTAATAATATGATATGGTGAAAATACTTTCCTAACTAAAAGTTAATACCTGGTCTGACAGCATTTTTAAGTGTGAACTGAAATGAAAATTCTTAGATTCAAAATTAAATGATTTTAGTTAAACTTATAATCAAATCACTTAAGTAAAACAAAATTATCAAAAATTAGGGCTATCCTGGAAAAATCAAGGTCTTGGAGACTAATCGTTAGTAAGAGTAATCTAATTCTACCTTTCCATAATTCAATAATTTTTAGACACTGCCAAGAGAGCCGCTAGTTGACCAAACACCTTAAACTAAAATAGTAAATGTCATCCTAAACTCAAAACCTTTAATTCTTTAAACTAGAAAATTCTGTCATTTACTCTGATATAGTGAACTACCAAGAAATATATCAGATTGTTTTTAAAAAGCAAGAAACGTACTCAATCAAGACAGGATCAGTGACAAAAAAAAAAAAAATAGGACTTGATGTCAGACAGATGTGAGATGAGTCCTGCTTCATCACTTACCAGCTCTGTGACTTTGGACAAGCAAAAATTGCTCAGAGCCTTCTAAGAGACAAATGGGAGGATAGCACTACTATAAAGGGCTCTAACAAGAAATGAGGAAACACACCTGGCACAAGTTGTCAGTGTTAGTCTTGTTTTCCTTTCATTAAAGAAAAGAGAATCAGATATTCATTTTTTCTCCAGGCATGCCACCTTTATTGATAATAATTTTTCTTATTTAAATTTTTTGAAAATATACAAGTGAAGAAAATAAACCAAGCATGAAATCTTTCCATCTAGAACGACTACTGATATTTTAATATAGACTAATAATATTTCTCAGTACACAATATAAACTTAAGTATATATGTAAATACAGATTTGTAATATTCTTTCTTCATTTAATGTATGCTATATTTTAATCATATATTAAGGCAGAGACTTGCCAGATACATCTAGTGTGCACTGGATGCTCAATATTTGTTGATGAATAAATAAATTTTAAAGTACTTTATAATATAATTTTTCAATAGTCATATAATATCCCATTATAGGAAAGAATGATACATTATTTGAACAATCTCACTCCAGAAATTAAACTACCTTCGTTTTCAGTATACTACAAACACAGTTACATAGGGTATTCTTAAATATACATTTTTTCACATATATCTAATTATTTTTTGACATAGACTTGTTAGGTCATAGAACTAAATTTTAAGAAATTTATGCCTTCCACCAAATTACTCCTTAGAAAAGTTATTCCACATCATACTACAATTTTATGAAGAGCCCATTCTTAGAATCTTGCCCAACACTGGTTATTATCTTTTTAAAGTTTACCAATATCATTTGGTTATAATTTGCATTTATTTGACTATAAAACTGAACTTTTTTGTTATGGTTTTGACTTATTTTAAAATCTGCTTGCTTAAGGAATTTGTTTAATTTTCTTTTTTGTCTTTTTAATTGATTTTATTTTTTAAATAAACGACAGTGGAATGCATTACAATTCTTATTACAATTGTAATTCACAATAGCTAAACTGTGGAACCAACCTAGATGCCCTTTAGTAGATGAATGGTTAAAAAAAATGTGGCATATATACACAATGGAATATTACTCAGCAATAAAAGAGAATAAAATCATGGCATTTGCAGGTAAATGGATGGAGTTGTAGAAGATAATGCTAACTGAAGTTATCCAATCCCAAAAAAACAAATGCCAAATGTTTTCTCTGATATAAGGTAACTGACTCAAAGTGGGGTAGAGATGGGGAGCATGGGAGGAATAAAGGAAATCTAGATAGGGCAAAAGGGGGCGGGAAGAGAGGGGGCAGGGGGTTAGCAGTGATGGTGAAATGTGATGGACATCGTTATCCAAAGTACATGTATGAAAACATGAATTATTAAAGTTTATAATGTCTGTTTCATTTTCTTACGAATTTTAGACTTCAGGAATTATTTAATGTATTAGGAGTATTAATTATTAATTCTCCATCATATATGGTGCCTCCCCCACAGTCTGGCATTAGCCTTATTAGTTTTTGCCTTGGGTGCCATGCTTGGAAATACTCTTTCCACCCAAACAATACATAGATGTTCTCCTATACTTAATCTAATAGTTAAAACCTTTCACTTAACTAAGTAATCCACCTAGAATGTGTTATGGTAAATGGCATGATATAGTATCTAACATCTTTATCCTTAAATTTCCAACTATAATCTGTACTGGTTTGTTCTGAGACAATTAATTTGGCTACTGACAGCAAAGTTATAATAAGACCAGGTTTCCTATTTTAAGCTTGTAGCTGAATATAAAAGTGTAACTGAAGGAAGAAATCTATTTTCAGCCTTCTCCCCTCCTCCCAAAGAACCATCAAAGATCAATTCCTTCTCTAAGTTCTTTTGAAAGGTGCAATGTTATTGGAGCTAAAAGTAAAATATACTTTAAAGAATGACATCCTAAGTACACTGCAATTTCAGCATGGTAGTAGCTACAATGATCTTGAAGACCCTTCTCAAATTGCTTTTTGTACTTGTAAATCTAGATTACTATGAAAACTTCTGAATTAACAACATTTCAGAAGTATCAGCTATGCACAGCCACAAAAAACAACTTTTTAACATAGTCTGTAAGCAATCTTCTAGTATGCCTTCCATCATCTTACCAGGAGGGAAAAAAAAAAAAAAAAAAAACGAAACACATTCACTGTCACTGCATTCATGCTCTACAGACTGAAAAACTAGACTGAAATCTCCCTACTTCAGGAAACTTCTGGTAGAAAATTAAGACTGGAGAAATACTTTTAGCTCACTTTCAAGTAGTAAGAAGAAACTGACTTATAAAGTTATCTCCCTAACAAAAAAAAAAAAGTTATCTAGATTTCATGGCCCCTAGTGGTTAATTAACAATCAATAATATATTTGAAAAAATAATAAACACACTCCAACACAGTAGTAGTAGTTGCCAGCTGTAGCACCATGCTAGCTTTTCAAAAATGCCAATATTCTTATTTTATTAAAGTATAAAGTAACAAAATATTCTCCCTTATTGTTTTACTTATTTCTCCCACTTCCTCTTTTTATGGCCCAAAATACCAAAATTCCATTTGTATCATCTTGTAAAAGACTTTTTTAAGTTAGCTTTGTATGATTTATGACTGGACCTAAAAACTGAACCACAGATGTCTTTATTTTCAGAAAGGAAGGTAACTAATTCTAAGAAAACATTTTATTATTAGTTAAAATTATAATCTTAATCGAATGATAATTCTAGATTAAGTATCGTTGGCACAAAAATACTGTGTAAATGCTGTGTGATAGGGAGTTCAAAAGGCAATCAGCAGAATACAACAGACACTAATATGGCAGTATGTATAAACGTGACTGTATAACCAATATGATCCTGCAATCTGTACATGTGGGAAAAATAAAAATTCATACCCCATTTGAATCAAATGTACAATATATGATATGCAAGATCATTGTAATGTTTTGAGCAACTAATTAAAAAAAAAAGGCAATCGGGACTTCTACTTCTAGTATTCAGAGAGCTAGGTACCATTACTGCTGCATCCTCTTTCAAAGAAACAACCAAAAATGTTGAATAAAATAGGGGTGGGGAAAAACATCTTAAATGCTGGAAAAAGAATAAGGCCAAAAAAGAATAAGGACAGTACCTCAAAGGAGGAAGTTAAATACAAGTGCTAAACTGGATGAACCTGAGCTTCAAACTTCATAGCCTGAGGCTGGGGAATGTGAGAAAAGACAAAAAGGCAAAGTCCACAACTCTTCAATAAAACTCAAACCTCAAAGCACTGAACACCAATGTATGGGTGAATAAGAAAATCATCTGTAGCCCCAGAGGAGTGCAAGGAAAATTACCTGTCTTCAACTTTGGTGCTAACATAACAGAAAATATGCTCTTGAGATTTCATAAAAACAAACCCACCTTTATATAGATCTATGGCCTTAACTCACAATAAGTATACGATGAGAATTTATTTTCTCAAAGTCCTAGAGTTGTAGTGTCTCCAGCTGCCTGGTAGAAATAAAAGCAAACAACCTCTAAGGAAGTTCACTTCTAAACAGTCCCACAGTTAAAGTACCAAGAAATATAAGTTCATAGACAGAAATCATAAAATAAGCATCCAAAGTGAAAACTAGTAGAAAAACAGGTGAATCAGACCCTCAAAAACTTGATTTACCCCATTACATTCAAGTTTTCAATTCTGTACATATTTTAATGAAATTGACACAGGTGCGTTAAAATAGGTTGGAAATAATAATTTACGGCTTATATGTTATTATATTAACTAGTATTATTATAACTATTATAATTGTATCCTTTTTATTATTATACAATTATATATTATCTACTATACGTTTTTATGTGTTCCCCATCTGAGGTGATGGGACAAAATGTGACTAAATGGAACTAAAAAGCAATATAGTAAAATTAATAATCTGAGAGGATAAAAGAAAGAAATTGGGGCAGAAACAAATAGAAAATTTAAAAAAACAGACAATAAATAACAGAACAACCACTAACTTCTAAAAAAGTTGAAAGCCAATAAAATGGTAACTGTGAAAAACCATAGACAATATAAAATTTACCTTGTATAATCAGTAATT